TTTTCATTTTCACGCGACCGCTAAATAGTGTCACAGCCATAAAACCTCCCGTTTACAATTTTCTTTCGGTTATCAAACTTGGGATGTAATAAATGGAAGAAAGTGTTGTTTTCAGATGAGAAAATGATTTTGATGGCCTAGACGATTTTCAGCGTTACATGCAAAAGATGTCCCAAAAGAAATTTTCTCAACACGACACAGTAGAGGTGGACCAATTATGGTCTGGGGTTCATTTTCGTACAATGGAACTTCTGAGTCACAGGAGGTAAAAGGTCGTCAAACAGCTACTAGTTACATTGACATGTTAAGAAAGGCATCGCTAATTACCGAAGGCCCTCATCTATGTGGAGAAAACTGGATTTTCCAGCAGGACAATGTTGCAATCCACAACGCTCTCCAAATCGAAACCCAATCGAGAATGTTTGAGGATGGATGGCAAAGGATGTATATAAACATGGATCGCAATTTGAAATTGTGGATGCTCTTCATGCTGCAGTTTCTGCATCCTGGGTGAGCATCCCAAGCACCCCCACGCAGAAGAAGTTAATAATGAGTATGCCAAAGCGAATTTTCGAAGTAATTCGCAAACATGGAGGATATATTGTGAATTAAATTGTCGCTGTGACTTATTTGTTCTGTATTTGCTATTTTTATTTACATGGTCTTATCTTTATGACCAACCAAAAAAATCCTTTTTTCAATGTCTGTTTAAATTAATCAATTAAAAGCTTAAAATGTTCACTTGTTTGTTGATAAACTACATTGTCTAATTAAATGTACATACTTCGCAAATATATTTTGATTAAAGTAATAGTATTTTATATATTTTTTTCACCCTTTTGTACCTGGTCTTAAGATTTTGACCAGGAGTGTATATGGCAGGAGCACTACACCAGATGTGGCAGCAATATTCAAAGTATGGACGAATGATAGACTTATAAATACGTAAGATAGATTTGGGCGGGAACAATTGTCTACCATGCCACAGTGAATTAAATTACTAACAGCAGACCTAGAAAGTGATTCATTATAAACTTTCCATTTCATGTTAGCTGAGAATATTGACCCAAGAAGGAGAGTAGAATCATCTATGCTGATGGAAGGTAGAAAGTGAACAGACAATTAATACAGAGTAGTTTTGTTTTGGAGGCGTTAAAAGTAATAAGACATTCCTTGCCCAAGTTAACAACAGAATGTAGATTATTTTTTTAGGTCATCTGTTAATTTGACCTTATCGAATCGATCAAACTTATTAGTCATTATTGTTATAAGAAATATCCGAATATATTTCCTGCTTAGAGAACCCAATCAATATTTGCGTCTCTTTTGATAATTATTATTTTGTTTCTTTTCCAAATTGTCAGCCATTTCTGATATCCTCTTTCTTGTTTCCCCCGATAAAAAAGAACGTGAATAAAAAAGCGTGCAACCTGAATAAATTGATCAACACGGGGCAAATGGGAAGTATTATTGGGTATGATGGTAAACTACATCCAGCAGCAAGACCCTCGGTGGTAGCACCTGTTAGGGCCCCAGCTATGGGCAAATAGCGAACCCCCAAACTGGGGTAAAAAAAAAAAAAAAACTGCAAGTATAGATAAAAAACAACAAATAAGTAAATTACCAGCAACAGATTTTTGTAAAAGAAAAAAAATATCCCTGCAATAGGTTTTTGTAAAAAGAGAAAAAAAAATACCCAAGCTATTAAGAAAATTAAATTCCTGCATTAAACAAACCAGAAAGAGAAGATGTGCCGTTAAACAATCAAATGAAAAATGAAACTTATTATATATTTAAAAAAAAAAGTTCTTAAATTTTCTTTCAAAAGAATTTATTGTTACGTAATTCTATAGGGAGACGACGAAGTATCTTATCCTATCTAAGACAGCGAAAAAAAAAAAAAAGACACATAGAATCAGAAAGAATGTTGAAACTTCCAGAAGACACAATGAAAAAAGGATTTGAAAAATTCGTGGTTGCGGGAACCAACTGCAGTGAGGAATATATTATCCGTAGCAAATAAGAATAAATTTGATGTACATAAACATCCCTTTTTTTTTGCACAGCAGTGACAGTGTAAACAGTGGATATAAAAATGGTCTCCTCCCTGAAAAATCAAGGCCACACATTACAGAAAGAATGATAGAGAAAAAGTTGTGGACCTCGGTTAGTCTGTGCTACCCAGGTCATCATTTTCACCTGGCCTTGCACCAAACGATTATCAACTTTTACAATCAATGCAAAACGCTTTGACGTGGAAAGATTCCTCAAGTCTAAACAAAATACAAGAATTAGTCAAAAAAAATTTTCACATCAAAACATCCGGAATTGTACTCAGAAATTATCAAAGAAGTACTTAGCAGCAACAATCATTGCAAATAATGTTGAATGATACATAATTGGATAAAATGTAATTAGAGTTTATTTTCTAAAGAATATTTTCTGAAGAATATTTTCTGATGTATATGTTCTGAAGAATATTTTCTGAAGAATATTTTCTGGAGAATATTTTCTGAAGTATATTTTCTGAAGAATATTTTCTGGAGAATATTTTCTGAAGAATATTTTCTGAAGAATATTTTCTGAAGAATATTTTCTGGAGAATATTTTCTGAAGAATATTTTCTGAAGAATATTTTCTGATGTATATGTTCTGAAGAATATTTTCTGAAGAATATTTTCTGAAGAATATTTTCTGAAGAATATTTTCTGATGTATATTTTCTGAAGAATATTTTCTGAAGTATATTTTCTGAAGAATATTTTCTGAAGTATATTTTCTGAAGAATATTTTCTGAAGAATATTTTCTGGAGTATATTTTCTGAAGAATATTTTCTGGAGAATATTTTCTGAAGAATAAAGTTGAAACAATAAAAACGGAAATGATTCAAATCAATTTATCCGTATGAAATGCTAACAGCAACTTTTCAAAATATTTCAGGATTTTTCTAAAAGAGTTTTCTTTACCCTTTTGGTTGTATTTCAGGTTTTTATTTCATAATCGTTGCGAATTGATATGTCAAATTCATATCGTTAAATCCGAAGGTGCACTGGAATAGCCTAGCGAAAGATACGTTCCATAAAATAAAAGTCTTAAGATCCGGGAACGTTTCGTTCGAATTAATCGAATTATTAGATATTTGCGTCTGTGTACGGTGAAAAGCCCAATGCTGTTGTAAGGTTTCTTGAAAGTAAAAGGAATGAAAAAAAAACCCATTGGTAACATTAGTAGATTCGTTTGGCGGGACTAAGTCTGGAATAGAATGGTTCGTAAAAACAGCAAAAGTCAATGTTAAGTCTGCAATACCAAATTCATACCGCCATACACGAAAATAATTCAATTCAATGTAATAGTACTTTGGTAAATCAAAGTGTCCATGTTGCCAAGTAAGTTATGACACATTGAAAAAATAACGATCATAGTCATATGCTGAAAGAAAAACAAAGAGTCCTACTGAAAATATTAAGGTGTTTTCCCAATGATAAGCAGAGATAAGGAGAAGAATAAAGCTGCACGTTTCTATACTTTACTGGTTGTCCTGGAACTGTATGGGCTGGGTTTATTTTCCACGCTGGGATGTCAAGGGACAATTCATGGCAAAGTCAGCGAATTATTTATTTTTATCATAAAACTGTCAATGTTAGAAATAATGACCAACAACAGAAAACGTAACAAGTCAAAGCATTTATAGAACTCATCATTAGTCAGATGATCAACATTTTCAGATCTAGTGGGAAGAGATATATTGAATTTAATTTGCTAAATCCGAAAACGCATTTGAACAGCGAAAGATGCCTCTCAAAAAAAAGAAACAAACAAAAAAAAAAACAAATTCATAAAAGATAGAAAGATTAACTTAGAAACAAAGATTATTGCTATGCTAAGCTAAGCAAAGTAAAGGGTATTTCATTAAGATGGGTTATATATAAGGGTGTTTCATTAAGACGGATCAAAGTCAGCAGTAAATAAATCAGTGTTATTGGTGAACATTTATTTATTTTTTTATTGGATCATGTTATTTAAGTCATGGCAATTATGTGTGAAAAATAATATCGCCCAAATGTCCACCAATTCTGAAAGAAAAAGAAAAAAAAATCATTAGACACTTAAACTTAATTCACATTTAAAATCGGTCCAAGTTACTGGAACACACTTTATTAAGAATCAAGTAAAAAATCATTGAAGAATAAGAACGGTATACTGAATTTTTATACAAAATCGGTCTTCCTATACAGCAGTGAATGCTGGACAATCAACTCACAGCTGAAGAAGAGACTTAAAACAACAGAGATTTGGTTATACAGAAGGATGATGAGAATATGAACGTGTGAATAACGAAGATGTTTTAAGAAAGTAAAAAGGATGTTTAAGGTTAGACCCAGGAAGAGAGAGTTGAAATTTCTGTTCGAACAGCGAAAGAGGCCTCTCAGAAAATAAACAAATTATTAAAACCTAGGAAAATTAACTTAGAAACAAAGAAAAAATGCTGAACTCCTATGTAATATCAATCCTCCTATATGACAGATGAAGAAAAGACTTGAGGAAAGAGGAAATGTGGCCCTACAGAAGGATGCTAAGAATACAATGAATGGAGTGTGCAAACAACAAGGAACGTTTTACAGAAAATGGAAGCAAAAAAACTTAGAAAGAGAAAGGGCAAATTTCTGGGATATATAACGTTGAGAAGAGGGTTGGAGAATATGACACTTACAAAAAATATTGAGCATAGATAGTGTTGTGTTAGGGTCCACCTAATTTGCATAGCGGAGTACCGACCATATAAATATGGTTGGTACCGGGAAGAGAGGGAGGAATCAAGAGATTCAACCAGAGACTCTGCCCGACTGCGACTCAGTCAACACATTCTCCAGGAACGGTCTTACCAGGAATATACAAAAGACTATATGTAAATATTGTGTACACTTTTTTTTTTTCAATACATTTTGTTCTAAGTACATTTTGTGTTGCATTATTATTCCATGCATTAGTCAAGTTTCAACAGATAGATAGATAGATAGATAGATAGATAGATATAGGCCATGTAGATATAGAAGTCAATACTGCAATGTGTCTGTTTCAAAGCTCAACAGATTTTCTGGTCCGATATATATGTATGTAGCGGAATGCTTCGATCGGATGCACGCAAGAAGACTGAAGTTTTGATTGCGAAAAGTGTTTTAGAAGTCGCATACACAACTTTCAGAATAACTTTTCGTATTTCAATTGCTCAATTGAAATACGAAAAGTTTGTAAGTTATTCTGAAAGTTGTGTATGCGACTTCTAAAATAAAAATTTAGATTTATTTTTAGTGAATCACTAGATTAGCTTAGGTTATTTCATTGGACATAAAAGAAATCCAACGAAATACGGATTCTTGGACCAAAGTGAGTGGAATAAAAGATCTACTATCAAGTGGAAATTCATTATTTTGTAGTCTGAAAAGTCATCAGACTCAATTTGTTTTTTGATTTCAATATTCGACTTGTTAGCCAAAAATTATGATCCCACGTTCGGAATTCATCCATTTTTCAACAATAATTTTGAATTGTTATTGAAGTCTTGGCCAGTTTACAATATTTGTTGATCTCACTAATCATTTGTAAGTGTAATCGATAGGTCATAAATCATTTGTTTGTAAGGGATTGTACATGTATTTCCCATTGAAACATATTTTATGATGATGGGTCATCACAGTAAAATAGGCACTGGAAAATTTTTGATTGTATCACGTCGGGCTCACCATTACTTTGCAGCGGAATATACGTGTATAAGTGAAGAATTAAATTAATCTTCAACCCGGATCTCCAAATTTTAATGATTTTTATTTATTAGAGGATTATTTTTCTTTCGAATTAAAAGAAGTGAAATTACAAAAATAGTTTGTGAACAACTTTACAGAAATTGTTTTGTGTCTCCTTGTTTTAACAGTACAAATGAATGCATTGCGTTAGTATAGGTTAAACAATAAATGCGTTTATATGTGTACAGATGTATGTGGCAAGTCTAGTAGATTTATGAGGCAGGTCAAGTGTGTATGAATTCTAGTTGCAGATATTATGAGCTAGACGCTACTGTTGCATTTGTACGGATGTATATGTCACAAGTTTACGTTGTCTGCCTAAATTCGAGTTCTAGGCTGTAGGAAAGAAGACAGGAAGTTATGTGCTACTTTAAACAATTAACGGTATATCGTCGCTAAAAGTAATTTTTGTAATGTTGAATCTTCGAAATAAGTAAGCAAAAGATGTAAGAAGTTAATGGTGAGAATTTCAGTTTCGCTTGTGTAACAAACGATCGAGTAACCTTGGTCAGAGATTAAATGAAAATCTAATTTTGCAAGCCAAATGTTTTGATATTTATAAAAATCTTGTGAATAAAACTGGCTCCGAAAGAAACTAAATACAGGTTTTTTAATCAAGAGCTTATTGGCTAATAAATAATTTTCCTAATTTAAATATTCCTTTTAAGGAAGAATAAATATTTTTGTTATATTCTGAAGTAAACAATTTAAATAGATCTCACACCATTTTGATTGGCTGTTGGTCAACTTCCAATCAAATACGTGATAGCGGGTTATGGCTTGCCTAATATAAGTCAGTATCTGCAGGCTGTTAATTTTGGAGATAGAATCAGAGGCTGATCAGCGCTGATGGGGTCGACTTGGTGAGGGGGAGTATAATGTTTGAAAGATCCGAAACTGCCCAGTGATCCAAATCAGAACATCACTGATGACGCCCTCTAGCGCTAAAGAGCGTATATTCAAAGTGAAGTCGAACCTCAAAAATTTCAGATGTAAGATATTTTACTGTCTTCTATTTAAAAAAAACCGCGCGTCTCATTTGATGTCGCTAGTTGGTTAATACATGTGAATACAAAAATTTAAATGAGTTTTCAGTACTTAAATCTCTTAGCATTTTCTACAATTCTGAAATGAGGCTCCACACAAACGCACACACGTGTGCGTGGGTGGGTGTGTATGTAATTGGATAAGGATCACAAGAACGTGTTTGCAAGTCACGTGTATATATGTATCATAATTCTAGTTTGTGGGATTCGGATGATAATGTATATGTGCTTGCTCGTTTGTGTGTGGGTCTGTGTGTGCATGCACGTGTCTATAAGGTATTTTTAAAGAAAATTCTATTTTACATTTTTGCGTCGTTTGAACTTTATTGATTAAGCAGAAATCACATGCATCTGTAGACACTGAAGTCAACACCCAGCGGCGACAATCTGTTTCAAGCTACAACTCAATCATCAGATCATAGTCTGACCACTGCGTTTAAGCGTGTAACAACGTCCATATTTTGATCCGTAATATCAAGCACATTAACCCCTAAATATAGCATACCTTAAGTTTACACACACACACACACAGACACACACACACAGACGCACACACATACATACATATATATATATATATATATATATATATATATATATATATATATATATAGTGTATTTGAGCAGCAATTCCAACTGACAAGGCACTGCAAATAAGCTTTTTATCAAATTTTTCTTGTGTTCGTACAAGTGTTTTCTTTTCTGGACACAAAGTGTGTAAAAACAAAAGAAAATGAAATTAATTATCTACTACAAAAAATGTAAAACGCCATCAACAATAACAACCTTTAAGATCTAACTTACAGAGAACAAATATAACTCATAAGCCCACATCCCACTTAAGGAACTATGTTCCTGATCAAACCAAACTCATAAATAGTTATATTGGTCATACCACAACATGCCCATTTAGACGACTTACGTTACACCAGTCTGACCATAGCTCAATTGGGACTTATTTAAACTTACACGGAAACCTAGCATATTCCATTCGCAATATGCTAGCATAAAATGCCTTATCCACATGTAAAAAAAAGAGTCAAAATAATGGAGGCACTAATGATCAAAAGAAAAAGGCAACGCCCAATAACATTAACTGTGAACACGGCCACAACCGGCAAACCGTGTTTAGGCGATAAAACTTTCCAGCAGTTCCAGATACATATATAAAAGAAACGCATTCAGTGAAAAATAAAAAAAAATAAAAGTCTTCGTTGATAATGGCTAAAAGAATAGTCGAAAGCGCAGAACGTTTTGACAGTTTTTCCACACTTTGCGCCCAGAAAAGTAAACACATGTACAAACACAAGTAAGATTAAATAAACAGTTTAATGACAGTGGATTGGCAGTCGTTTTTAAAGTAGAACACACACACACACACACACACACACACACACACACACACACACACATATATATATATATATATATATATATATATATATTTTAAAAGAAAAACAGACCACTTTAAGGTACCATTACAATAATTTATTTCCCCAGAGTATTCCCATGTACTATAAATTGATTTATTTAAAATATGTTTTTTTCGCTACACAGTTCTAACCACGTTTCAAAAAGGTAAACCTAGAATATACCATCCGCAATATGCTATGAAACATGGTTAGAACTGTGTAGCGAAAAAAAAACATATTTTAAATAAATCAATTTATAATATTAATGCTCAGTAAATTTACATTGAGTACTATTTTGTAAAAATAAAATATTTATAAGAACACCGGATTATATATCTTACTGTTCTTATTTTTATATTATATATATATATATATATATATATATATATATATATATATATATATATATATATATATATATATATATATATATATATATATATATATATATATATATATATATATATATATATATATATATATATATATATATATATATATATATATATATATATATATATATATATATATATATATATATATATATATATATATATATATATATATATATATATATATATAATTTCTAGTGACGCGTTTCATCCGTTAACGAAAGGTGTCATAAGAAAATTTTCAGCTTGTCATATTTTTTCTAAATACTATTTGTTGATATACAAAATTTTATATCGTTATATCACATATATATATATATATATATATATATATATATATATATATGTGTGTGTGTGTGTGTGTGTGTGTGTGAGTGTGTGTGTGTGTATTTATATACATATAGATTAAAATGGAGGGAGTGATAGAAACTGTAAAACAGATAAACGTTATTCTTTGGTCGGTAATCACGGAAAGCCCTTTTTCAAAAATCTGAATTATTCTTATAAAAATAGATTTATAGATATATAGGGTTGTTGTGTTTCTGAAGCAGCATCAAAGAAACAACGCCTCCTGTTAGAGGCAGCGAAAGCATATCATGTACAATTCCTGTATTGAACATCATTAAATAAAAGAACGCAAAAAGAAAGACTCCCACCCGGCTAAAAAAAAAAAAGCGGTTACATTCAAAAGAGTATAATATTATAATTATTATTTCGACTTGCACTCGAAGTGCAGAAAGGAGAGTATCTCTACGTAATTCTTGCGTGTGCTGCCGAAAGAGTTGCTAACCAAACTACAGCTCTCCTTTATCAGGCTTCTGCATTGAAAAAAAAAAGAGGTTCCTCTATATATTAATGGGGTGAAGGATGAGTACGTGAATAGCGAACATGGTAATGTCTACAAAGAATTTAGGAACTGTATTGAAAGCTTTTCAGCTTCTGTTCATTGATGTATGTTGTTTCTTGCACAGAGGAAGAGAAGAGTTTCTTGAAATAAAATACAAAAAAAAAAAAGAAATTATGTCAAAACAATAAAAATGGAAAAATTGAATCATTAACAGGTATCGATTTTAAGTCCGGAACTTAATGCTAGCGCATGACTGATTCACTTCATTAGTTTTTACTATTATTATTATTATTATTATTGTCATTGTTGTTGTTATTGTTGCTTTTTGACGGTGCTACCGTTGTTGTTGTTTTCTGTTTGGCTTTGGAAGAAGGATAAATCATATAGACGTACACAGGAAAGCGATGAATACGAAAAATGTTCTCATTCTGTTTACTATCTATCTATCTATCTATCTCAGTCTGTTAATATCTATCTATCTATCTATCTATCTATCGCAGTCTGTTCCTTTCTATCTATCTATCTATCTATCTATCTATCTAT